TGGACAGACAATAGTCGACCTGGTGTTCTTAAAGATTGTGGCGAGATTTATTTGCGGTAAACGGTGATTATAAAGATAGGAGACAACTATTGATATAGTATTTAATTTTTTAAACACCAAGCGAATTTGGCTCAATTCACATTTACATTAAATACAGTAAGTACCACAATAATGCAATAATCAGTTTAGAATACTTTAGCTTCCATACCTGGCGTCGCCTCCCCCTGTCTTTTTACAAATAATGTCATGGTAACTGCTCCGATGAGCTGCTTTCACTGGTCCCCAGACTTCATGAATTTAAGCGTTCTACTAGGCTGGCATCTTGCTCTCACCCTTTCACTGTCGAAACTGTTAAATGTAGACATCTCTTCTACTCCAATAGCTTCAGGTCTCACACCTCTCGCTTGTGAAACTCCCTCCCCTTATCCTCTTTCCATGATAGCTATAATCTCCAACTATTCAAATATAATGTCAATCGACGTCTCCAGATGCCTTGATCTATACCCTATCCTTCTCTTCATCCTTTCCTCTATCACTCCTATTTGCTCTCGCTCCAACTCTCTGTAAACCCTTGCGTGCTAGTGGCTTCCCGCCTTGCTTGGGGTGAAATGCTTAAAAAAAAGGATATCGTGACAGAAGAACACATTAGAGTACCTCTATTAACACCATAGCATCCAAAGCTGCACATGACCTGTGTGTATAATGTCGCTAATTGAATTCTAGATTTCCATTTTATGGTGTGATCCAATGAGTAACGCTTCCCGTTGTTTCAAGTTGGTAGTTGAGTTCGGATGTGATGCAGACCACATAAGAGCATAGGCCAGAACTGGCAACATGACACTCTGCAAGTTGATGGTGTTTCCATAACAATTTTGTCATCACTAGCCATAGGTTCGCTCGAGCGGTTTGTCAAAGAAGGTCATTAATCGGTGACCGATCAGTCACACTGTTTCTTCAAAATGTACAATCATTCATTAATTCCATTCATTCGGCAACAATCGGTTATTCCAGTTGCAGGATAATGCACATTGTAATCAAGTTCATGTTGTCAAGAATTTCTTTTAAGTAGATTCTGGAGGCAGTCAACGAATGATCTGGCCTCGTGGTTCACCAAACGAACGTTTTATGAACGGGTGATGTGCTCTATTCTCATGCAAAATCTCTCGACTAAAAATACGAGAGCGCTGAAGACAGCGATTAAGTGATTCAAAACAACTTCATAAGTTTTCCGAACATTTGTGTAATCGAGGAAGGCCGATTTGCTTCAGATTACCGGATGTATGGAAGTCCTACACAATACTAGGCACTTATGCCATGACATTTAGCACAACAGTAAACACACACATATGCTTTGCACCCCCTCTACCTTAAATGGTTTTTGGACTTTCTATTGTATGAATAGTAGTATTAAAAATCTAAGGAAAAACGGTATGCAATACCTTTATAATCTGGAAATGAGGCCGAAGATATTTTTCAGAACACACGCGCACACACACACACACACACGCACACACACACACACACACATGTATGTATGTATAAAAGCGGATATTGCGGTCAACATTGAATGATAACAGTCTATTTCCTGCTTGAAAGCAATCTTCAGGTCAAGACTGTGTTGAAGCATGAAACAGTCTGTCAACCAATGGGGTTTACCTCTGTATCCACTTTTATATTCACATACGCCCTATCACTGATATTCACTACTTTTACCCATAAATATACTACACCTTAAAACTATATTGTTATCTCACACACACACGCACACACGCGCGCACATATGTGTGTGTGTGTGTGTGCAATATGCGTGTGTGTGTGTGATAACAATATAGTTTTACTTAAAATAGTATATTTATGGGTAAAAGTAAGAATATCAGTGATGAAATATATATATGTGTGTGTGTGTGTGTGTGTGTGTGTGTGTGTGTGTGTGTGTGTGTGTGTAAAGTAATTTTATCGTTGCAAGACAAATTTTGAGACGAAAATTATTACTTATACACCGTTTAATATCGTTATCAGTGTGTGTCACCTGTATATATACCGGTGGCAAGCAAAACGTCGCGTGAGTCGTGATTCTGTTAGTCAGGGGGCCAACTTCAAAATCAATCCGCTAATGCATCTGACTTCTCTGATGCTCTGATGTGTTACTGACTGTAAAGTCTATCTTGATGTCGGTACAGATCAACTTCTCTTAGAATAAAGGCGCCTTATTGATGCTAAATTTGAATCAGACCATCTGTAAATTTCTGTATTTGCTTGATTTTGCTAACGCTTAAAAAAGACGGCAAGAAAAATGATCTGCAATAAATACTGAAGAAAAAGTAACTTTTTTTATATGAAGCAAGCATCAAATGTTAGCATTTGTTTCACATACACTTAAAGGAGTCACGTTTGTTTGAGACAATCTTTTTTGAAAGTTAAACTTTGATTATGTGAAGTATTTGTCTTTGAGAACTTTTAGTTAATTTTTTTTCTTCCTTTTATTCTAGAACGGATGACGCGATATCCTGTGATTTTTTTTTTTTTTTGCTTCTGTCGCGAAATTATTTTCGTGGGTTATTTCTTTGTTCTTTTTGTTTTCTCCTGACAAGATATGTCGCGATAATTTTTCCAAAACGGTTGGCGTAATATCTCGTGAGAAATCTACATGATTTTTAAGCGTGTGACATGATATCTCGTGAGAATTATTCTTGTACGGCTGGCGAGATATCTTGTGTGAAATTTCTGTTTTTTTTTTTTTGTTTTTTTTTAAACGGGTGACATGATATCTTGCAATAATTTTTTCTAGAACGTTTGTCGATGTGTTTCAGGAAACAATGATTCTCAATCGACTGACACGCTATGTCACGAGAATCTTGATTTGAGTTGCTGATGCGATATCTCACGGTACATTTCTTAATCGTTCAATATCAAATCTCGCGAGATTTATTCTGTTTCTTGAGATTATATTGGTTCCTGAGTTTAATTTTGTTGCCTTTTTGTTTCGTTTTTTTTTTTTGCTTTCATTCCTTGATTTTTTTTGTTTTTTTTTTGTTTGTTTTGTTTCAATCATTCTTTCTTTCGTTCTTTTTTTCCCGAGTTCCTGTTATTTATTTCTCCTTCCTTTTATATTACTTTTGTTGTTTCTTTCTTCTTGCTAAATCCTGTACACTTTGACAAACTTTATTAAGAGGAGAGAACACAAGAACCCCAGTGATTAAGAAGACTGAAGATAACGATTGACATTGCATTTAAATTTTTAAAGATCAAAGATAACTGGAAAGCAAAAACCAGAAGAGACTTCCTCAAGCGAGAATTACGAGAGAAGAATATATTCGCATGGAACATACCGCTACAACTGTAGAATGAAGAGACCTATACGCCCATCTAGTATTACGCTTAAATTCGTAAAATCGGTGTACCAAATATTGCATCTTACTCTTTAAGAGCGTCTTGTACACATATATTCCTAGATATATTCTGATTTAGTATCTTTCTTTCAACTTTAAGCCAGGTTTCTTTTCATGAACCCACCAATTTCTTAAGGTTTTTAAAGACTCTTGCATTTTCTGAAAGTTTTCTTTGAAATTATTTATTTCTTTGACTTATCTTTTTTCTTTCCTTTTAGCATTATGTTTGATACTATTGTTCACAAAAATAGAAGTCCCAAGAGCCACTCAAGGTAGATGGCGACTGAATTTGTTTGTTGTATTAGCGTAACAAGTGAAGTTCATGAGGATATGTCAGAAAACGATTAAATCTTGATTTGAAATGGTTAACATGGTAGTTATCGGGAAACCATCATCTCGGAAGTCTGTACCACAAAGCTGTTCTTGGAAAGAATTTGTCTGATTGGAACATCCTTCTTACGAATGGAACACAAAGGGGATTGGGATGATTCGTCCAAGTTTATGTGATTTTGTGGTTCGTAGCTGTGAAGGACCGAACTGGTAAAAATTAGGAATGCAGCTCGTCAGAACATTTGCCATGTGGATAGCGATAGATTCAGAAATGCGTTGTAGGTTACAAAATAATTCATCCACAAGAACTCTCAGATTGTTTTGAATTGTATGAAGTTTGGAAAATGTGAACTGGACATAACCATAGCAGATATGATAAAACGAATGTTTACTCAATTTCTGATGTTGTCATGAAATTATGTATTATGGGATGTATTTGTGTAATCATATCTCGAAAAACATTTCAGTAAAATCATTACTTTTGCATTGTCTTTGTTCTCCACAATAAACAAAAAAAAATTCAACTGCCTAGGTGTTGTGCCATAGTACCTATTCTTTGGTAATGGACTCTCCCATAGATAATAAGTAGGAGTAGCAGTGGCAAGTCTGCAGAACGGTGTTGAGAATGTCAGTCGAGATTCGGACATTTGAAGTACCAACCATCACAACTAGATTTGCTGCGTCATTGACTATTATTTTTCCAAGTTCCTAACGTTTTGTACGACTTATTAGAAATACAAGCCTCCACTGTGAAAATACTCCACAACACTAGGAAACAAAGACGTTTCTCGCAAGATATCTCATCTGATGCTCAAGAAACAAAGTAAATCTCGCGAGATATGATGTCAGCCGATTAAGAAATGTTTTGTAAGTTAACGCTCAAGACATGATTCTCATGACATAAAATGTCAGTCGCTTGAGAATCAATTTTTTCCCGAAATACACCGACAAACGCTCTAGGAAAATTTATCGCAAGGGGTCACGTCATCCGTTTAAAAACCAAGTAGAATTTCACACAAGCTATCTCGCCAGATGTACTAGAATAATTCTTCCGAGATAGCAAGTCACATGCTTAAAATCATGCGGATTTCTCACGAGAGTTTGCGTCAGACGTTCTAGAAAAAAATATCGTGACATATCTTGTCAGGAGATGAAAAAACAAAGAAATATCCCACGAGAAATAATTTCGTGACAGAAAGAAAAAAAATTCTCTAGATATCACGTCATTCGTTCTCGAATAATTTTCTCTCGAGAAAAAAATACAAACAGATTTATCGCAAGATGCCATGTCACGTGCTTGAAATCATTTACATTTCTCACGAGATATTCCGTCAGCCGTTCTCGGAAAAAAAATTTATCGAAATTATGGAATTTCACACAAGATATCTCACCAGCTGTGCTAGAAGAATTCTTCCGAGATTGCAGATCACGCACTTAAAATCATGCAAATTTCTCACGAGATTTTGCGTCAGGCGTTGTAGAAAAAAATTATCGCGGCATATCTTGTCAGGAGATAAAGAAACAAAGAAATGACCCACGAGAATAATTTCGCGAGAGAAAGAAAAAAAAATTCACATGGTATCATCTCATCCGTTCTAGAATAATTTTCTCTCGAGAAAAATACAGATTTATCGCAAGATATCACGTGAGCCGAGCTAAAAAGATTCTAGCGAGATATTACGTCATGCACTTAAAATCATATAAATTTCTCACTAGATATTGCGACAGTCGATCTAGGAAAATCTCGCGAGATATTGCATCAACTGCATAAAAAGCAAATAAACGGATGGCTGTTGCAATTTGGGGCACATTATACCCGCTTTATGTGGGAGTATATATTTTAACTCCCTGATAATTAAGCTGCAACCTTCATGACCGACATTCATCACATCTTTTTATTTTTTTATAAAAAAAATACACCTCTATATGCCCCATATTTTGATTAACAATTGTTTGTGCATTTTTTTCTTGCTAGAAATTTTATACCTTATCCTAAGGGATTTTCATGCTGTAAAGTTTCAACTCAAGATTCCCATATATATATATTTTTCTTCATCCTTTTGAAATTAAGCTCGAACAGATATTTACCTACACATTTAATGTCGTTGGCTTAGACAAGATGTCGATTCTATTCAATGACACGTAATTCTCGTTCATAACGCGCTGGGACTGATGTTTACGTCGCTCGCTTTCTAAATGATGGAATTATAAAAACAGCTCAACTAATTGATAAGTGAAAAGTCAGCCTTTTTGTTTACTAAATTTTACTTATATTTCAAGAATGCCAAACGAGAAGGAACTACAATGAAAGGTTGAAATGAAAGAATGGTTTCAAGTTAATCAAGCTCCTTTCATTTTTCCCCATCTACTTTCACTTTTGAGCGTAGACAATAATTGAAATAATCAGCCGTATTAGGTTTCGTCTGTTTAATTTAAATGGACGCATTTTTATTCGCTTCCTTCATTTGCCTCGCTTTCATTTCTTCGCTTTTAATTCTACTCGAAATATATTTTCTTTCTTTGTGCTTTGTTATTTTTCTACACATTCACTCAATTTTGTCTTTGACATTTTTTGTTTATTTATCATTTTTCTTTTGTTTGTTACTTTTTGGGGTTAAATTTAAACAACAAATAGAAAAAATGAGTAATTAAGATTTATTTTTTCCCCTTTGTTTTTAATTTTTTTTTTCTTCAATTGTTAGCTCGTTGGAATCTTTTGTCTGTTTTCCTTAAACAAAATATTTTATATTTCCTGTTTTACGTACGATCTTTCACTCATAATTTCTTCCTTTCTTTCTTTCTCTTTTTTCTTTCTTTCTTTCTTTATTTTTCTTTCTTTGTTCCTTTCTTTCTTTTCAATTCGGTACTCTATTTTCTCTATTTTCCTTCTTCTGAGGTTTCTATCGTTTCTAATTCTTGCTTATATCTAAACTTCTTTCTTCCTTTCTTTCTTTCTTTCTTTCTTTCTTTCTTTCTTGAGGACCTCCTATTATTTTTCTATTTTTCATTTTACTTAGCTTTCTTCTGTTTCAAATTCTTGCTTTTTTTTAATCATTTTTCATATTTATTGATTTCCTTACTTCTTTCTTTTTCATATATTATTTTTTCTTTCTATCTTTCCCCATGGCTACATTTTGCTTCTGCTCTCGTCTTGGGATTTCTTTTTTTCAGACATATTTATTTTGTTCCTCTTAATTCTTTCTTGTTTCTCCATTTTTTTCCTTTTTTTATCGTTTTAAACTTTTCATTTCTTTCTTTCTTTCTTTCTTTCTTTCTTTCTTTCTTTCTTTCTTTCTTTCTTTCTTTCTTTCTTTCTCTTGTCCCACACTGCTTTTTCTTTTACCTTTCTCTAAGCTTCTTCCTTCTTGCTTAATCCTGCAGATTTGTAGAAATCCTGTTTTCTTTCTTTCTTTCTCTCCCTCTCTTTCTATTTTTTCTCTCTCTCTCTGTTTCTTTCTTTCTTTCTGTATTTCTTTCTTTCTTTCTTTGTAATTCGGAGATACTTAAAACTTTCTTATTTCTCTTTAAAAGTCTCGTCTATATACCTCTTTAACATATTCTGATTAATCTTTCTTCTTCAACATCTTATTTCTTTTCTCTTAAACCTGTTTCCTTTCTTTGAATTCCTGTCTTTGCCATTTTATTCATCTTTTTTTTATTCTCAATACGCTCTTCTTGTATTTTTCTTCATTCTTTTTTTTTCTTTTTCTTTTTTCATTTACGTCTTTCCACTTTCTTTCCTATTTATTTCTACGAATTCTTGACTTGAATTTTTTCCGGT